GGGGGAATACAAAGAATTAAGAAAAGCAGGTGACACCTGCTCAAGTGATTAATTAATACTTGTAGGTAATGGTCAGCTCTAAATTCTTTTTTGTCGACTATCTCCCACCATTTTGCTACAAAATATTTATAATTAAAAAAAAAAAAGGAAAGTAGAAAAGTACATCACAAATCTCATATAAAAGCAAAAAGGGGTCTTTCTTGGTAGTTGCATAGAATAGGAAGTGGATGTAGTAGACCAGTAGAAGGGAGTGAGTTGGTCATTAAGCACTTGTTATTATACCACATGACAAGTTGGATCTTCTTACTATTTTTTTTTTTTTGGTTGTTAATAAAGGATAAGTCCCAATTGGAGCACGTTTCTCTTTTGCTTTGGTCTAATCTTAATCTTATTAATCTGTCTCTTCCACATTTTTTTTAGTATCAAAGAAATTTCCTCTAAGCTTCTAGTCCGACTCTAGTGAGTATACAAGTTCGAAACTTGGGGAAGTAGGGCCCACCCATCTACCTTTCCCCAACTTAAACACTAAGCTTTGTCCGCGGTAGGGTTTAAACCCGTGATGTATGTCTAATCCACACATCATGTCCTTATCATTACACCAAAGCTCGAGTCAGAAGTCGTCGTGCCTAATATTTGGAGAAGTTTTATTGTGTGCCTCACACAACTGGGTCCACAAACCCTCTGGGTCCACAAAACTGTGAAACAAAAAAGATGCCTCATACAACTAGTGTCAGTTGTATAAGACACAAAATAAAATTTTTCCTAATATTTGTGTTTGAAAGTCAAAAGTCACTTATGCCATCTAGTTCAAACTTCCGAGGTTCCTATTTTCTCACAAGTCATGTCCATATTATTTTCATTCAATCTTCAGGAAAAGAATACCTAGCACGCCTGCACTCAAAGAAAGTTTAATCCCCTTTACTTAGCTGTAATAATATGCATCATTTAGTTTTGGCGCATAAGCCATGACTTTAAGTGCTGCATAAAGTAACTAACCCCAACTGTCTTATAAATTAGTTGACTTTACAGAAGACAATAGGATGTTTAATGATTAAACAAATAAGTACTTAAAAAGTACCTCTAAACGTAGATTTGATGTAAAATAATAATAATAACAACAAAATTTAGCTACACTGAAACATGGCTCCTGACTCATACATATCAGCTTGAACATCACACTATTCGAGCCAACGTCTCTAAATTGAAAATGGGAAATCAAAATTTCTTACACAAAATATAGCTAGTTTTAATGTGTGTCGACTTTGAATTGAATTGGGTAACTATCTGAGACAACACTCAAATACAAATCCTATAAGGTAATGCCTTTTTGCAATGATAGCATGTCAAAAGGATGGTTTGTGACGATTTTCTACTCTCTTGCATTATAACCCCTCTCAGTGACACAGGTTACCTGTCCATCAATAGTATCATAAGTCATATCTCACTTTCCATTTCCCACTATTGTTGACATTGAGTGTCCAGTTGTTTTCTCTGATCTGAAAGTAAGGAACCTGAAAAGCAAAAAAGGAGAATCAAACAGAACTTCAACATAGGAAGGCCCTTACTTTGTTAAGCTTCTGCAATTATCAGCAGGAGAATGTTTGACAATTTAAGAAACTTAAATTTGTTGTTAATTGGTTAATATAAACATGAATATTAAGTT